TAGCCTTGAAAAAATATTTTTAAAAAATCCACGTTTAATAAATAGCTTTAAAAAATATTTTTAAAAAATCCACGTTTAATAAATAGCTTTAAAAAATATTTTTAAAAAATCCACGTTTAATAAATAGCTTTAAAAAATATTTTTAAAAAATCCACGTTTAATAAATAGCTTTAAAAAATATTTTTAAAAAATCCACGTTTAATAAATAGCTTTAAAAAATATTTTTAAAAAATCCACGTTTAATAAATAGCTTTAAAAAATATTTTTAAAAAATCCACGTTTAATAAATAGCTTTAAAAAATATTTTTAAAAAATCCACGTTTAATTGATAGCCTTGCAAAAATATTTTTAAAAAATCCACGTTTAATTGATAGCCTTGCAAAAATATTTTTAAAAAAACTCCACGTTTATTTTTAGCCTCAAAAACCATTTCAAATGAAAACTATTTTTTTAAAAATCCACTTTTCTTTATGGACTCAAAAAAATATCCTAAAAAAATCCAGGTTTAATTAATAGCCTTGAAAAAATATTTTTAAAATATCCACGTTTAATTAATAGCCTTGCAAAAATATTTTTAAAAAATCCACGTTTAATTAATAGCCTTGAAAAAATATTTTTAAAAAATCCACGTTTATTGATATCGTTGAAAACATATTTTTAAAATATCCACGTTTATTGATAGCCTTGAAAACATATTTTTAAAATATCCACGTTTATTGATAGCCTTGAAAACATATTTTTGGAAAATCCACGTTTAATAAATAGCCTTTAAAAAATATTTTTAAAAAATCCACGTTTAATTAATAGCCTTGAAAAAATATTTTTTTGTAAAAATCCATGTTTAATTAATAGCCTTGAAAAAATATTTTTAAAAAATCCACGTTTAATTAATAGCCTTGAAAAAATATTTTTAAAAAATCCGCTCTTAATTAATAGCCTTGAAAAAATATTTTTAAAAAATCCACGTTTAATTAATAGCCTTGAAAAAATATTTTTAAAAAATCCGCTCTTAATTAATAGCCTTGAAAAAATATTTTTAAAAAATCCACGTTTAATAAATAGCTTTAAAAAATATTTTTAAAAAATCCACGTTTAATAAATAGCTTTAAAAAATATTTTTAAAAAATCCACGTTTAATTAATACCTTGGAAAAATATTTTTAAAAAATCCACGTTTAATTAATACCTTTAAAAAATATTTTTAAAACATCCACGTTTAACTAATAGCCTTGAAAAATATTTTTAAAAAATCAACGTTTAATTAATAGCCTTGAAAAATATTTTTAAAAAATCCACGTTTAATTGATAGCCTTGAAAAAATATTTTTAAAAAATCCACGTTTAATTGATAGCCTTGCAAAAATATTTTTAAAAAATCCACGTTTAATTGATAGCCTTGAAAAAATATGTTTAAAAAATCCACGTCTAATTAATAGCCTTAAAAAATATTTTTAAAGAATCCACGTTTAATTAATAGCCTTAAAAATGTGTCGAGCTCTCCCATACCTGCAGACGTCATATGCAACATGATAGGTGAGTGAGTGAGTGTTTGAGGTGTGCTTTTCTGTTTCGCGTTGATTAAAAAAACACACACAAAACTTTTTGAAGTGTTTTAGTTTTTTTATTTGTTTGTTTGTTCGCAATGATTTTTAAATTAATAGTTTGTCATTAGTTAGAGTAGAGTATGTTCGTTCCCCAACTCGCTCGTTGCTGTTGGCTGTTAGCAGTTGTTGCTGGCTGTTTTAGTTGAGCTTGTTGCTGCTGATTGTCGAATGTTGGCAATTAGTTTGTTGGGGGGTTTCTATAGTTTTTTTTTTGTTGGTGTTTTTGGGTTTCTTCATTAAATGTTGTTGTCGGAGCTGCTGCTGGTTGTGTTTTATTTTGCCCGGTTGTATTTCAGACAATTAACAGTTCTAAATATGTACGAGCCGATTTACAATGGCTCGCACAGCACAGGCACTACTATGTCTGTCAGTCAAGTAGTTTTGTACGCAAACTTTTAAACGTGAGCCCGTGAGTGAGTGACTATGGCTGTGAAACACACAATAACAAAATTGCTTTTTATTTGAATTAATTTTTTGGGCAATTTTAATGGCTTGGTCTTGAAGAGAGTTTTTATGATTGTGGGAACGCTTGTTAATCGTTTGTCGTTATAGCAACAAATCAAAACAAACAAGTGACAATCAGGCAAAGAAAAAAAACCTAATTGAGTAATTAAAACAAAAGACTACAAAATCCATTAGTTTTGTGGTTGAAAATTTGGGGGAAAAAATATGTGGGAAGGTAAATTCTATGTGACCCTTGAATGTGTAACACATATGGGAAACTTTTTTGACAGACACACCTATATTTAACGTCTTATATCTGTGAAGTGGACCAACATACGAGTTGGATTAGAAACACAAATTCCCATGGCTATATTTGTGAATAATGTATGTTATTAGGCAAGATTTTATCAAAATTGTATAGCCTTGAAAAAATATTTTTAAAAAATCCACGTTTAATAAATAGCTTTAAAAAATATTTTTAAAAAATCCACGTTTAATAAATAGCTTTAAAAAATATTTTTAAAAAATCCACGTTTAATAAATAGCTTTAAAAAATATTTTTAAAAAATCCACGTTTAATAAATAGCTTTAAAAAATATTTTTAAAAAATCCACGTTTAATAAATAGCTTTAAAAAATATTTTTAAAAAATCCACGTTTAATAAATAGCTTTAAAAAATATTTTTAAAAAATCCACGTTTAATAAATAGCTTTAAAAAATATTTTTAAAAAATCCACGTTTAATAAATAGCTTTAAAAAATATTTTTAAAAAATCCACGTTTAATAAATAGCTTTAAAAAATATTTTTAAAAAATCCACGTTTAATAAATAGCTTTAAAAAATATTTTTAAAAAATCCACGTTTAATAAATAGCTTTAAAAAATATTTTTAAAAAATCCACGTTTAATTGATAGCCTTGCAAAAATATTTTTAAAAAATCCACGTTTAATTGATAGCCTTGCAAAAATATTTTTAAAAAAACTCCACGTTTATTTTTAGCCTCAAAAACCATTTCAAATGAAAACTATTTTTTTAAAAATCCACTTTTCTTTATGGACTCAAAAAAATATCCTAAAAAAATCCAGGTTTAATTAATAGCCTTGAAAAAATATTTTTAAAATATCCACGTTTAATTAATAGCCTTGAAAAAATATTTTTAACAAATCCACGTTTAATTAATAGCCTTGAAAAAATATTTTTAAAAAATCCACGTTTATTGATAGCGTTGAAAACATATTTTTAAAATATCCACGTTTATTGATAGCCTTGAAAACATATTTTTGGAAAATCCACGTTTAATAAATAGCCTTTAAAAAATATTTTTAAAAAATCCACGTTTAATTAATAGCCTTGAAAAAATATTTTTTTGTAAAAATCCATGTTTAATTAATAGCCTTGAAAAAATATTTTTAAAAAATCCACGTTTAATTAATAGCCTTGAAAAAATATTTTTAAAAAATCCGCTCTTAATTAATAGCCTTGAAAAAATATTTTTAAAAAATCCACGTTTAATTAGTTGTTTTGAAAAAATATTTTTAAAAAATCCACGTTTAATTAGTTGTTTTGAAAAAATATTTTTAAAAAATCCACGTTTAATTAGTTGTTTTGAAAAAATATTTTTAAAAAATCCACGTTTAATTAATAGCCTTGAAAAAATATTTTTAAAAAATCCGCTCTTAATTAATAGCCTTGAAAAAATATTTTTAAAAAATCCACGTTTAATTAGTTGTTTTGAAAAAATATTTTTAAAAAATCCACGTTTAATTAGTTGTTTTGAAAAAATATTTTTAAAAAATCCACGTTTAATTAGTTGTTTTGAAAAAATATTTTTAAAAAATCCACGTTTAATTAGTTGTTTTGAAAAAATATTTTTAAAAAATCCACGTTTCATTAGTTGTTTTGAAAAAATATTTTTAAAAAATCCACGTTTAATTAGTTGTTTTGAAAAAATATTTTTAAAAAATCCACGTTTCATTAGTTGTTTTGAAAAAATATTTTTAAAAAATCCACGTTTAATTAGTTGTTTTGAAAAAATATTTTTAAAAAATCCACGTTTCATTAGTTGTTTTGAAAAAATATTTTTAAAAAATCCACGTTTAATTAGTTGTTTTGAAAAAATATTTTTAAAAAATCCACGTTTAATTAGTTGTTTTGAAAAAATATTTTTAAAAAATCCACGTTTAATTAGTTGTTTTGAAAAAATATTTTTAAAAAATCCACGTTTATTTATAGCCTCGGAAAAATATTTTTAAAATTCCACGTTTATCTATAGCCTTGAAAAATATTTTTAAAAAATCCACTTTTATCTATAGCCTTGAAAAAATATTTTTAAAAAATCCACGTTTATTTATAGCCTAGGAAAAATATTTTTAAAATTCCACGTTTATCTATAGCCTTGAAAAAATATTTTTAAAAATCCACGTTTATTTATAGCCTTGAAAAAATATTTTTAAAAAATCCACGTTTATTTATAGCCTCGGAAAAATATTTTTAAAAATCCACGTTTATCTATGGCCTTGAAAAAATATTTTTAAAAAATCCACGTTTATTTTTAGTCTCGGAAATTTTTTTAAAAAATTCACGTTTATTTATAGCCTCGGAAAAATATTTTTAAAAAGTGCACGTTTAACTAATAGCCTTGAAAAAATATTTTTTTCTCAAAAAAATATTTTTAAAAAATTCACGTTTATTTATAGCCCCGGAAAAATATTTTTAAAAAATGCACGGTTAATTAATAGCCTTGAAAAAATATTTTTAAAAAATGCACGTTTAATTAATAGCCTTGAAAAAATATTTTTAAAAAATACTTGTGTATTTTTAAAGACTAAAATTTTAAATATTTTTTTTTAAAGGACCAACAATTCAATTCTTACATTTGTGTTCGTTAATTTTTTTAAATGTAACTATATAATTATGTAGTTGGCAAAAGAGAAAAAAAACACAAATATACTCACAATAGCACTGTGTCACCGGGTAAATCCACTGGAACAGCTAGGATACCAATGTTGCGACAGCTCAACGACAGTCTACCCAGTGTCCCCGTACAATGGCAATGCTTTTGTGACCAGACATCACAAACAGCATGCAGTGTCCTTTGTTGCTGTGCTGAATCCGAAGACTGGCTGGCATTTGATGAGGATGTCGCCGAGGCTGATGAATCCTTGGCCAACGATGATGATGACGACGACGATGATGTGGAGTTTACTTTGTCCTGTTTCTGTTCATGCATGCTATTTTTGACAAGATATTCCTTTAAGGTTTTTTCATAGAGAATTCGGGCCTCCCGTTCGGGATCCTCGGAGGGTAGCATAACATTTTCACGAATGCCATAAAGATTAGGAAATAGAATGCCATTGGCCCCAACACCACCGCCACCACTACTAGCGGTGCTACCACTGACTTTTCCCATGGGTCGGGGAGAATTTTTAATGTCGGTGGAGGGGGGTGATGTTGTATTGTTTATATGGCTATTTATGGTGGGTGGAGACGCCGGAGAGGTGGCAGAAGTTTGTGTGCCATATATGAAGCTCTTGGTATTGTTGCCTGGCGCTAATGTGTTTTCCTGCACTGGGGCAGATTTTATTACCAGGGAATTGTTGCTAATGTCCTGTTTTGTTGGCAGTTCTTTGGGAGCGGATTGTTTTTGTTTCTGCTCAGTGACTGTGGCTTCTGGTGAATTTTTATTATCAAAAACCATTTCATCTTCGCCATTTTCCATCCTCTGTTTCTCCGGCTCCTTTGAGACCATATTCTGTTGGCTTTGTGTTTTTTTGTTGTTGTTGTTGTTGCTAACTAAATTTTTACTAAAATCCTTTGTTTTAAATATAATTCGCTCTTCTATTTGTATTTTATTTACATCGATTATACTAAATTCTTCTTCGACTTCTTTGGTTTGATTTTCTTCCTCAAATTCAGCTGTGGCGCCCAACTTCCCCTTTTCCACTCCTTGGACACTCTTTGTGCCCCCCAACAGAGGAATTTGAAAATTTAATAAATTTTCTTCTAATTTTTTATCTACATTTGTTAAATATGATACATTTGTGTTTGCTGTTATAACATTGGCCTGGCCCAGCAGCAGTTGTTGCAAAAGGACACACATGATTATGACAAAGACCGGAGTATCCTTGAGCAGAAACCAAGTTTGTGTACGACAGCCACGTTTACGAAAACCGGCCATAATTTGCAAAGTCCCCAAGTTTTTTATGTTCTTGTTTTTATATCTCTTATTGTTGTAGTTTTTGTTGTTGTTGTAGTTATTGTTAATAAAAATTTGTTGCATTTGTTGCAACCTTTCCGTTTCGAGACTCGGGTATTTTTCTAGTCTGAACCGTTGCTGCCGATTGATGCTGTCAAGCATTTGTCATTTGATGACAGTTATATGTGCAACACGTTTCGTGTTCATGATTTTAGTTGTTTGTTGTTGTTATTGTTTTGTTTTCCGATTGTTGTTTTTTTTTTTTTTTCTTTACTATGTCGCCTTTTTTATTGTTTTTCTTGGAAAATGTTCTTTATTTGGCAGCGATTGTTTGTTTTGAAAATGTTATACGTTTTCAGAACGAAATATTTTATTTCTAATGTCGGGGAGTTTTGAATGCTATCTTCTGTGACGCCGGCTGCTAGTCAACTGTCAGAACTGCAAAGATAAGAAATATACAAAATAATACTATTAGTCTTTTGTTAAAGAAAACGGGGGAAAAACAAAGGAGGTTATTCCCAATGACCCAAAAAATTATCTAAACACGAATTTCAAAAATTCAGAAATTTGGATTTTTAAAAAAAGTTTAAAAAGGCCGTTCAAAGGTAAAGGAAAGTGGATTTTTAAAATAATTTAAAAATGTCGTACAAAGGTCCTAAAAATTGGATTTAAAAAGGCCAGTTAATGGTCCTGAAACGAGTATTTTTAAAATAATTCAAAAAGGCCATCCAAAGAACCAGAAACGTGGATTTTTAAAATAATTTAAAAAGCCATCCAAAGGTCCAGAAACGTGGATTTTTAAAATAATTTAAAAAGGCCATCCAAAGGTCCAGAAATGTGGATTTTTAAAATAATTTAAAAAGGCCATCCAAAGGTACAGAAACGTTAATTTTTCAAATAATTTAAAAATGACTCCTAAAGGTTCAGAAACGTTAATTTTTCAAATAATTTAAAAATGACCTACAAAGGTCCAGAAACGTGGATTTTTAAAGTAATTTAAAATGGCCATCCAAAGGTCCAGAAACGTGGATATTTAAAATAATTTAAAAAGGCCATCCAAAGGTCCAGAAACGTGGATTTTTAAAAGAATTTAAAAAGGCCATCCAAAGGTCCAGAAACGTGGATTTTTAAAATAATTTAAAAAGGCCATCCAAAGGTCCAGAAACGTGGATTTTTAAAATAATTTAAAAAGGCCATCCAAAGGTCCAGAAGCGTGGATTTTTAAAATAATTTAAAAGGACCTACAAAGGTCCAGAAACGTGGATTTTTTAAATAATTTAAAAAGAACTCCTAAAGGTCCAGAAACGTGGATTTTTAAAATAATTTAAAAAGGACCTCCCAGGGTCGAGAAACGTGGATTTTTAAAATAATTTAAAAAGGCCATCCAAAGGTCCAGAAACGTGGATTTTTTAAATAATTTAAAAAGGCCATCCAAAGGTCCAGAAACGTGGATTTTTAAAATAATTTAAAAAGGTCATCCAAAGGTCCAGAAATGTGGACTTTTAAAACAAACTGAAAAGGCCATACAAGGGCCTAGAAATATGAATTTCACAATAATTTATAAGGACCTCCAAAGCTCGAGAATCGTGGATTTTTAAAATAATTTAAGAAGTTCAACCAAAGGTCGAGAAACGTGGATTTTTAAAATAATTTAAAAAGGACCTACAAAGGTCCAGAAACGTGGATTTTTAAAATAATTTAAGAAGTTCAAACAAAGGTCGAGAAACGTGGATTTTTTAAATAATTTATAAAGGACCTCCAAAGGTCGAGAAACGTGGATTTTTAAAATATTTTAAAAAGTTCATCCAAATGTCGAGAAACGTGGATTTTTAAAATAATTTAAAAAGGCCACCCAAAGGTCCAGAAACGTGGATTTTTTAAATAATTTATAAAGGACCTCCAAAGGTCGAGAAACGTGGATTTTTAAAATATTTTAAAAAGTTCATCCAAAGGTCCTGAAACGTGGATTTTTAAAATATTTTAAAAAGTTCATCCAAATGTCGAGAAACGTGGATTTTTAAAATAATTTAAAAAGGTCATCCAAAGGTCCTGAAACCTGGATTTTTTAAATAATTTATAAAGGACCTCCAAAGGTCGAGAAACGTGGATTTTTAAAATATTTTAAAAAGTTCATCCAAAGGTCCTGAAACGTGGATTTTTAAAATATTTTAAAAAGTTCATCCAAAGGTCCTGAAACGTGGATTTTTAAAATAATTCAAAAAGGTCATCCAAAGGTCCTGAAACCTGGAATTAAAAAAATACCACAGAACGGATTTTCAACATTTCAGAAACGGGGATTAAAAAATAACTCAGAAAGGATCTTTCAAAGGTCAAGAAACGTGGATTTAAAAAATATCTCAGAAAGGACTCCGAAAGGTACCTCCAAAAACATGGATTTTAATAATAGTCTAGAAAGGATCTCCAAAAACGTGGATTTCAAAAATAGCCCAGCAATTAATTTTAAAGTTCCATAAACAAGGATTTAAAAAAATCTAAAACGATTCTTAAATGTCCAAAAACGAGAAATTTGAAACCAATGTAAAGAAGATATCCAAAGGTTCAGAAACGTGAATACATATAAGTTTTAAGAAGGACTTAAAAAGGACCAATATCATTTATTGTGAAAATATTCTAAGAAGATCGTTAAAAGGGCCAACATCGTCGGATCTTTAAAATGGTTTCATAAACACTCTAGGAAGGACTCGGAAAAGGATCACCAGAAGGAGATATGGAAGGCCCACACGATTTAATAAAAAGGATTTAAACATAAAAAATGAAGGTGTCAAGGGGTAATATACCCAGATTTTTCAGAGGGGCAGATGTTAATAAAGTTTTTTTTTCAAAGAAGCCTGGGTATAAAAGGGCATTTAAAACGTGAAATATTAAAACAGCTGCGAATGACATATAGAGATTGGTAAATAATAAAAAAGTAGTACCTTGAGAAGACTCAAATGTGTTAATGAACGCTATTTTTTCCGCGGACCTGGGGTAAACTTAAAGGGGTTGATAAACAAAGGATATGGAGAAGTCTCAAAGGAATTGACAATCGTGGATTTTTTGAAAGACCTAGAGAAGACTCAACGATTTGTCAAAGGACATGGTCATGCCTTAATGGGGTCAATCAACGCGAATTTTTCGAAAGACCAAGGGAAGACTCTAATAGGTTAATAGGAGACGATTTATTAAGGGTCTTCGTTCATTTTTGATTAGAAGACTCAGTTAGCAAACGATGATATTTCAAAGGACCTGGGAAAGACCTAATGGTATTGATAGATGTTGGTTTATTAAAGAACTGGGAGGAAATTTCAAGGAACAAATAACCGCTTTCTCGAAGGACCTGGGCATGACTCAAAGTTGTTGATAAAAATAGAATTTTTCAACGGCACAGGGAAGATTATAATGGGTTGCTGAATATGAACTTTTCCAAGGCATTGGGGGACCTCAAAAATTTTGGTAAGATTCCATTTTCAAAGGTTCTGGAGAAGACTTATATGTGTCCATAAACATGGTCAAAGGAAAATAGCGGACGTTGGTAATACTAACAGGATTTTATTCCGGACGTATGAATGACTCAACGCGTTTGAAAAATTGTCCATTGTTCCAATATAATTATAAGTTTTATTAGACGCTACTGATAAAAACTAAACAGTATTTAGTATTGGGTGTAGAGATAGAGATTAAGTTAAAATTTAGATTACTCATGGTATACATTTGATTGAGATATGGAGGTGGTTTTGGAAGTGCGTACTATAATTGTACGAAAAGTTCTAAATGTTACTAGATTTGGTATTGGGTGAATGTATAGAGCTGGAATCCCGAAATTGGATATTGAAGTCTCTGTTGGTATCTGGGATGGAGAAATGGAACTGGCTTTAGAAATGCGTACTATTAATGTTCGAGAAGTACTTAATAGCACTATATGTTAGGCGTCTCTGTTGGTGAGTTTGATTAAGATATGAATGTAATTTAGGTAATATTTACTATAACTGTACAAGAAGTACTGGATGGTACCATATTTGGTCTTGGGTGAAGGAATAAGACTAAAATCCTAAAATTTTATAAAGATGTCACCGTTGGGGTCTGTGGCTAAGCTATGGAGATGGGTTTGGAAATGTGTGCTATAATTGCTTGGAAAAAAAATAAATAGTTCTAAATTTTGTATTGAGTGAATGTATAGAGCTGGATTACCAAAAATTGATATTGAAGTCTCTCTTGATATCAAGGATGAAAATGCGTACTATAATTATACGAAAAATACCAAATGGAACTAATTTTTTTTTTCAATATTTCTACTAAATATTACTATAATTGGTATTGAGAGATTGGATAAAACAGAAATTCTAAAATTTTATATTGGTGTCACTTTTGTTTTCTAGGGGTTAAATATGGAGGCGTTGAAATAATTTTGAATAGAAAAATTGGATGTGGGCCCATTGTGCAATGGTCCTGATCTTATTATTCTTTACGAAAAAGGCAAAACTTTAACAAAATATAAGACATTGAAGATCTGAAAATTAAGTACGATTTATGAAGTTATGATTTCAAAAAATTGCCAACTGAACACATTGTGCATTCTGAGTACTAAAAAGGACGAACACGAACTGTTGGAACGAATCTGAAATTTTAAGATCTGCTGGTATTGAATATTTTTCGCGATAAGTACTAATACAATTAAGAACAACGCGGTTAACTACCAATTGTTCAATTACATGAAAATAAGGGTATGGGTATTGGTGATGGTAGCAAAAACGTAGGGAATTAACTAGGGTCAACAGATGACAGCAACACAAGGTCGACGTCGGTACTTGGCGAAATGTTGAAAATTGTTGTTATATGTTAAACATTGTTCCTGATGATGTCTTCCGCCGGAGGACGAAATATCGAAAATAATAATAATAAAAAAATAATATAAAAAACAAGTAATCAAAGGCTACAGTCGAGCGGG